TTTTATAATGAAAAGATCATAAAGCCTAATTCTGCAAAATTAAAGCATGATATATTTGGCTCAAGTTACTTATGTCAGTTCTCTTATTTAAAGCGTTAGGATGTTTTAGAATTGAACACATTTCCAAAAACTGTCTTTTAGCTAGATTGCGTTCAGTGGCAAGAATCTTAACTTCATTGAAATCCACCTTATGTTTAGTATTTATCGCGTGTTGTGCCAGGGCACAAGTGTGTTTTGATAAATTAATGTCACTACAATGTGAAGTGAGACGACCTTTTAATGATCTACCAGTCTGATCAATGTAACATAAATCGCAATTAGCGCATGGAATTTGATAAATCGTGTTAACTTGTTCCAAAGTGAACAAGGGTGTTTTAGTTTTAGAAAACAAATTTCTAACAGTTTTCGCATTCTTGACAGCAATTTTAACCGGTGTGTTATTTTGTTTATACAATTTAATAAGCTTCTCAGTAACTTGAGGAAAATAACAATAACAAAATAACAATGCTATTCATTGAATTATTTGAAATGTTTCTAAGTTGGTCACCATCGGGTATGTCATCAAATGAGGATCCATAGCTTTGTGAATAGAGGTAGGTATTTATTTATGATAGATGAAGGATATTAATTTTCTATAAGAATGTTTCTTAATAACTTAAGGGATTCCCTTCGATTAATTGGATGTGTCAGTTTATTTAATCTGCAGCTCAGAGCTTTTATAAGGTTTAATTTATATTTCATAGGATGACAGGAATGGTAATTAAGGAACCTATTAGAGGCCATTGGTTTTCTATACCAACTTGTGGTTAGGGTTAATCTCCCATTCTAATGACTCGCATGTCTAAGAAGGGTATACTATCGGTGGTAGTGTCCTCAAGTTCAACAGTGAACTGTAAATAAGGATCAAACTCATTAAAGAAGGATAAGGTATCGTGAACCTTGTCAGGTGGTAAGGCTAATAATAAATCATCGACATACCTCTTAATAAAAGGGATTTGAAAATCCAAGAGACCTAAACGGTCAGAAACCAAATCATCCAATACAAAGTTAACTAGGATGGGAGAGATTGAGGAACCCATAGGTGTGCCAAATGTTTGGAGGTAAAATTTGTCATCAAAGACCAAGAAATTAGTGTCGAAAACAAGTTGCAACAGCTCTGCAAATATATCCCAAGAAACAGGGCAATTAGGTTTAATAGAATTCCAGTGATTTTTTAAGTAAGTGATAACACTGGACAAAGGTAAGTTGGTGAAGAGAGAAACCACATCAAAACTTACTAAAATGTAACCTTGTGGTAGTTGAAAATTGTTAATAAATTCACTAAAGTTAAAAGAATGAACAATATTGAAGTCATTGTGTAATTATATGATTTAGATAAGATGTCTGTTAGAAATTTAGCTATATTTATATTAGGTGAATTAATAGACGACACAATAGGCCTCATGCTCAACGTAGGTTTATGTATTTTGGGTAGACAATAAAATCTTGGAGCATATCCATCATAATTGTGTAAAGATTTAGCTAAAGGTTGATCTATGATCTTAATATTTTTTAAGTGTGTTATAAATTTATTTATTTTATTTGTGAATTTAGAACCAGGGTTGGTAGAAAGTGGTTGATAGTATCTATCATCATCTAACAGTGATTTACTAAAACTGAAATATTGATCTCTATCCATAAGGACAGTAGCATTACCATTGTCACTCGTAAGAACGAGAAGATTAGGGTGGGTTTTTAAAAACAATACCGTCTTCCTGTAAATCTTATCTAACTTCGATAAGGGTTGCCTAGGGCGTTTAGTGAAATTCAACAAGATGTTGTTAGAAGAAGACATAAGAGATAAAAGGTCAGAATTGTTAGCATGAGACAAAATATTCTCAACATCTGCTAAGATTCTACTAATTGAGTAGTCCTTGAAAGTAGGTTGGAGGCCAAATTTAGGACCCAAAGATAATAACTTAAGTATGTCAGGAGGAACCTCAATGTTAGATAAATTTTTAATCCACTTAGGGTTGAATGGAATTTTCTTAAAATCAGGAGTATCTAAATTATTAAGTTTATTTTTAAGGTGTGCCATGGATTTATTATATGTGTAATTAAATTTTTTATGCAAAGAAGCCTCAAAAGTGTCCAACAAATTGTCAGGTAGGTGACTGTCCAGATACAAAGTAACATTATTAATTTGAAAAGGTAAAGATTTTAAATCACAGATATTAAACCTTTAACTTTTCATTTAATTTATCAAAACACATTTGTGCCCTGGCACAACACGCGATAAATACTAAACATAAGGTGGATTTCAATGAAGTTAAGATTCTTGCCACTGAACGCAATCTAGCTAAAAGACAGTTTTTGGAAATGTGTTCAATTCTAAAACATCCTAACGCTTTAAATAAGAGAACTGACATAAGTAACTTGAGCCAAATATATCATGCTTTAATTTTGCAGAATTAGGCTTTATGATCTTTTCGTTATAAAAAATGTCATGCAAGGTGTACTACTTGAACTCTTTTTTCCAATTTTTATTAAAAAATTAAAATATACATAAAATAGAAATAAACTAATAATTAAATAAAATAATTGAATATTCTTTACTTAATTCACTAGCATATGCAACTTACATTGCATATTCTTACACTAATTGCTTAGATTAGTGTGAACAATTTTTACTAAAATAACATAATACAAATATTGTAATGGATTCACAGAATCCTTTGCAAATTACAGTTTCAAGCATCTGGACCTTGGGCTGTGGAAATTAATTTATCGTTGATCACCTGTGGCAGATTATCTAGCCATAATGTTTAACGTTATTACTTATATATGAGGTTGAATGAAATTCTCCTGTTTGTTAGTTCTAGACTGATTAATGCGAGGAGTTGCTATTATAATACCAATTTCTTTAATTGGTTTGTTTCTCACAAGCGGGTAGTCATCCAAACTAATTTAAACTTTTAAATTGACCGCTCAATTATTTGGTGTGGTACCTCTACCTTGCTGATCTGTCAAAAGATTTTTGACCTCAAGGTTGGCTGTCTTTTTGCGGTTTAGTTCATTCTGGTTCATTTAACGCCATTTTTGTCATTTCATTTTGTTAATTTAACGCCAACTTTGACTGCTACATGTCTTTTTAAGGTAACAATTATAACATCGTTTTCATGATTGTGTGGTTCTTAGATTGTACTTTTTAGATGAACTGATGATGATTTCAAAATACGAAAGCGAAACGTCTTCAAAATAGATAAAGTAGCCTATCAATTGTGTCTTTTATCTCTCCACGTTGAGACCGATATAAGAACCCACCACTCGTCTGAGTAATCCTTATATATATATATATATATATATATATACATATATATATATATATATATATATATATATATATATACATATATATATATATATATATATATATATATATATATATATATATATATATATATATATTACATATATAATTTATTGCTCTGAAGCTATTTTCTTGTGGCATTTTAAATTAATTACTGTTTAACTGGGAATAAGCCACAATTAAAGATTTGTAAAGCCACAAACGTTTGTATTTTGAGAACGATTTCCGAAGTGGAAATTGAAACGTCAATAAACGTATTTTTATCTTTAATTGTGGCTTATTCCCAGTTAAATAGAAATACATATATATGATATATAGAAAATATATATATATATATATATATATATAATTTATATAATATCAAATATATATATATATATATATATATATATATATATATATATATATACAAAAGGAACATTTTTATTCTCGAGAGAGGAAGAGAGAGAAAATAACTTCAAAAAATGACGGTGGCGTCATTACTCTGTAATGACGGTAATGTGAAAATATTAGAATATTATTTTAAAATACGGTAAATTAAAATCGAAAATCACGTGTTTCAGAATTATTTCTTATAATGCTCTGTTTAGCTAAAAAAGAATTTGTTCCATACTTTACGGACACAGTGTATAATTTATACTTATATAAATATAAATATATTTCTTTCTAAAAGATCGCTTCGAATGTTTTCTGTAATACTTTTTATTACCTTTGTTTCAAAACTAGATAAAGATGATTCGTCTGTTTTGTAGTTTCGATGCTTCTGATCCATATGAAAGAACAAGGACTATCAGTGTTCTATACACTCTTATACGAGTTTATGGACACATACGTTTTTAGTTAACTACCGTGATAGGTTATGATAATATCCATTTGCCATTATGATCCGACTTTTTATTTCCCCTGATGTGTTCTTATTAGGGTCAATCATTTTCCTAGATATATGAACTGTTTGATCGCTTCGAAGTTGTGGCTGTTGTCAATAAGATCTGTGTCAACACTTCCAGCTTTTGTGTTTGTGTTAATCGGTATAAATTTCGTTTTATTTTATTTTTTATGTAATTCCATTCATTTTGCTGCTACTACTAGGTCGGTTAGAGTTTACATGCCTCTTGTTATATTGTTCAAATCGTCAGCATATGCTTAAATCGTCAGCATATATAATATCTTGCCTATCGGTAAATTTATCATGCTTATGAGTTTTTTGGACTTCTTACTCATTCATAGCGTTTGACAGACTTGGTATTATGATACTGTCATGCCGTTTTAAAATTGACAAACCTATGATACATGTTATCTATTTTAAATTATTCCGCTTTGTCGATAATTTATTGTAGTGTGAGATCTGATTAGTTAAACGTCCATGCCTGAACCCTGCCTGATATTCTCCTAGAAAAGCTTTGGTCTCTTATATTTGTATGTAATATTAGAATTAGTGGTCGTAAATTAAAACTAGGCTCGATTCCTTAGGCATTTGCTTCTCAAACCAAATTTTACAAAGTACTTTTTGCATGAGATTGGCGATCTGCTGTTCACATTGTATAAGTTGATTGACAAAAAGAACAAAATTAATATTGAATTTATTAGAATAATTTTGACTTAATTTATTTAGATGAATAATTATGTATACTGGTTTTTACTTTTAACTTACTGAAAACAGAAAGGTCCAACTTCTTTTACTTCAGGCATAGCACCATTTTGGATCTCCATTGGATTCGTTACGTTAAATACATATATCTTAAATGATAATGGAAACGGGACTTTTAAGAACATTCCTCTGATTTCCATACCTGGTCCTAGATTGACCATCTAAAATAGTTAAATTTAAGTAATTTTTAAGTAATAGTCATAGTTTTCAATAAATAACATTTAATGTAAAATACTAGCTACATTAACAAAATAATATAAAGCCATCAAAAAAATCTTATTTGTAGAGTAACTAGTCTGTGGAATAATAATTGCGTTGCTTAGAATTTTAGCCATTTTTACATTACATGTTTACATAATTTAGTTGTATATAGTTTTATGAAAAAAAAAATTAGCAATATAATATTTTTAGAAACAACTTTTGTATTGACAATGACAAATCATACGTGTTATGTACTAAAATTTATGATTTTAGAAATGGCTGACTTGCTATTTAGCGTCATTTAAATGTAAATAATAAAACGAACTCTAATAAATATTTTTATTGAAAGTTTGGTATTATTGTATCAGGTTAGTATATATACCCCATAATTCTGATTTTATCCATTACATCGAATCCCCTGATTAGAATACCGGTTATAGGAATATTTCGTTTTAAGGAATAGAACTTGAGGCTCCGAAACATTTCTATTTATAGGAAAAGACAGTTTAGATTTGAAAAGAAAAAGACAGTTAAAATTTAATTTCACGTACAGGGCGTGAATGTAGCCGCTTATACGTATTTCGGCCTAATAGGCCTCGTCAGAACGGCAATTCATTCGTTTTGAACGTGAAAATAAACCTCTTCTGTCTTAGGAAGCAACTCTAACATGGCTTCGAATGGACGCAAATAGCGATATCTGATATTAAAATCCGTAAACTATTTTTCGAACCCAAATTTCTATTTGCTTCTTTATAAATTATTCCGTTTATAGAAATACATTTTGATAAAATAATAGCGGAGAGTGTTGTACCTCGGACCGGGTTGTACCTCGGGTCAGTTGACTTTCTTTCTTAGCCACTGCAGATTTCTCTTCGATTTGGTTGAATTAGTGGTTTAATAATATCAGCAGTAGATGGCATCTAAATACACTTATTAAAAAATTGCAACGTGGTGACTTGCAGAGCGTTTTGTATTTTGTTTGATCGTAAGTAAATTATTTACCTATTTTTTTATCTGTTAAAATCCGCTTCAAATGTATATATATATATATATATATATATATATATATATATATATATATATATATATATATATATATATATATTTTATTATTATCTGTAATGGACAATATATATTTACGCTTGATAAATATTTGTCTAAACGCATAACCTAATATTAGGAAACAAAAAACAGCTGAAATTGTTACGTTATGTACCTTGGGTCACTGGTAGGTCGTGTACCTTGGACCGGACCAAGGTAAAATCTCATTGCGAATTAACATTATTTTGACTTTTATTTAAATTAATTGGTGTGTCTGTTACCAAAAAAAACCTTTTATTATTGTTTCATATAGTCATTTTAAAATGCCGAGAAGTAAAGTGGGTATCAAAAGACCACATTTAAATGCCCAGTATTTAACTGCAGCCGCAAATAAATGCATAAGTGGTGAATTATCAATTAGGGAAGCAGCAAAGTGCTATATCAAAAACCATGCTGATCAGGCACGTAAAATCCTTCAGGCAGTCGGGGGCTTCAGAATTTTCTTATGTTGCTGCCAATAATGTAAAACAAGTTTTTAATAAAGAAGAGGAAGCTGAGTTAAAAATATATCTTCTCACTGCTGCACGCCTCCACTATGGTTTGACGAAAATGGAAGTTCGTACTTTAGCATACCAGTATGCAACTGCAAATAACAAGTCTCATAGGAGGTGCAAATTTGTCCGGCTGGTCAAACGAAATATTGTTTTTGGAATACCTACAACACTTTAAAAATCAATGGAAACCAACAGTTGAAAATCCAGTTATATTACTTTTGGATAATCACGATAGCCACGTGAATGTAAGTGTCATTAATTTCTGTAAGAAGAATGGAATTCTACCGATAACGTTTCATCCCCACACCAGCCACAAAATGCAACCGCTCGATCGAACAGTTCTTGGACCGATGAAAACTTACTATAATACCGCCTGTAGTGAGTGGATGATTATGCACCCTAGACAACCTATTACGATTAACGATATAGCCGAACTTGCGGGTAAGGCATGTCCAAAAGCATTTACTACATCTAATATCCAGAAGGGATTTGAGGTGAGCGGTCTCTATCCCGTCAATGAAAACATTTTTTAAGATAATGAGTTTCTGTCTTCGTATGTAACTGATCGTCCTTTAAACCAGCTTACTGACAGTCGCGAACAAGTCAATGTTGAACAGGACGGGGAAAAAACTAAAACTACAGTTAATGAAATGGAAGTCTCTACTCCTTTCACCTCAAATATTCGTCAAGCAGGAACTTCAGGAAGTTCTATTACACCTGAAATGTTGCGACCCTATCCAAAGGCACCTGTTCGCAAAAAGAAGTTAGGAAGAGCAAGCGGAAAGTCACGAATACTTACCGACACTCCAGAGAAAGATGAAATAGCTACGCTTAAAAAGGGAAAGACGGTACCATTTGAGAAAGTGCAGGCAGTTACAAAGCAAATAGCGACAGAAGATATACAAAATGTGCCAAAGAGAGCTGCTAAGTAAGATAGTGAGTCAAGTTCAAGTGATGGAGGTACATTTGAGGACTTGGTAACTAGAGAAGAAGAATTATTAAATGACCAAAAAATATATGACTTATCTGAAAATAACGAGATTAAAAAAGGAGACTTTGTTTTAGTGAAAGTGGCAGGGAAGAAATCTTTTGTTTATTATGTTGCCGAGATACTGAACAGTGGAATTAATAATGAACTTAGATATTTACGTAGAATTCTAGATTCCTATAAGTTTATAAACGACTTAACCGAGACTTATGATTTTTTACGCAATGATATTGTACGTAAACTTCCACAACCGCACAAAATAAGTGGAACTACACGTCACGATGCCCACCTGAAATTTATTGTTAAATTTAGCGGATATAATGTCAAATAAGTTTTTATTTACTAAATTAATCATTAGTTAATCATAATGTTCTGATTATTTTGAGATATTCAATAAAACATTTCAAGATTTGTTCTATTTTTTTTATAGCTGACCCAAGGTACAATATAATGCTGGTTCAAGGTACAATATATGCTGGTCCAAGATACATTACCAGTTTGTACCTTGGGTCAACATGCAAGAGCCTGCTAAAATATATTTTTTAACTAACTACTAAGCTTAAAATGTGTCAATAAAAAGAAAGCATGTAGCCAAATAGACAAAGTAGCTAATGCATTGGATAAACTTTGCAAATATATAATTTTAGGATTTAGAAAAAAATAAAAACTAAAAATTGACCCAAGGTACAACACTCTCCCCTACTGCTTAATAGAATAATCTCTGTCTCCGGTTCCCGACAAGAATGTAGAGCATTAGAATAATTTTAATAATTTTAATAGTTTGTCCTGGTGTTAATGTAGTGTTATGTACAATTTATGTCCACTCTCATGTGTATTACATTCTACGCTTGCTGAATAGCCCAAATTTGACGAAATGCCCCTGATGATGCTGTAGATAGCGAAAGTACTTGGGCAAGATTTAATTAAACTTGTGCTCGATATTTGCCATAATTTTTCAAAGTTCATTTATTCCAGCATTCAAATGTATATTTATAATATTCTAAAGATTTAAATGATGTCTCGTTTATTAGAGACTGTCAAGTAATAAATACTTTATTACCTAATTATCAGCACCAATTTGACCATCCCCCGAAACATCCACAGGACATAACGTACTTTTTTATTTATCTAAAAATTTCTATTGCCCACCTACTTCATTGTCTGTTAATAAATTTTTAGAAACAGTTAACTTAGAACTCAATAACTGTAGTTTATAATTCATCTAGATATCTACGTGTTTACAAGTGAATAGTGGCGTTCTTAAATTGGAACATTAAGGATATTACATTAAAAGAAAAAGTTAATTTAATTGAACGCGGAAACAATTAAAGTGCAGTCAGTTCAAAATTGCTAAAAAGTTTGTAATTGCATAAGTTCAGATAAGCAACCTTTAAAAAGCCAAAACGGTTTCATCAACGATCGTCTTGCTAATTCAAAATGTAATCAAAAACGAAAACGTAGTGAGAAATATTCAGACGTCGAACAGGCATTATGCGAGTGATTTACTAAGAATAGAGCCCGAAATGCTCCTATTAGCGGTCCAGTTTTAAAAGAAAAAGCTTAAGAAATAGTCAAAAATTTAGCTAACGCGAATTTCAAAGCGACGAATGGATGGATCTGCAGATGGAAAATTTGTTTATAAGTTTTCTTGAAAAAATCTGCCGCAAATACGTAGATAACGGACATGTTACCTTTATTAATTAAAAATTATGAAACTTCGCTTTATTACCGAGCTACTACGGATAGCACAATCTATTTCCCAGAGAAAAAAAAATATGGAAAAGACGTAATAGGCAAAAATTATAGCAAAATTTGGATTGTTATGACACGACATCGCCAGATAGTTCCAATCACATGACAGGAACAATTTCGGTTTTTCAAGTTTTTTAAGAAGGCAGCTTTCTACGGGTGCACATGAATTGGCTTCCGCTTGCAGGTAATAAGCTCTCTACTGATATAAGGGTTTGCGGAAATTGACACCCGAAATTTTTTTTCGAAATTTAGGTAGGTAGGCGATGGATTTGATTGGGATGAAATGAATCATTATTGTCGTAGAAAATGCAAGCTACTGATATGTTACGAGAACAAGGAAAACCAATGCTAAAGACAAACAGTTTTAAATATATTGTTTACAAGTTCCTATGACATGGCTCTTCTGCTTACTCCTCTTCAGCCCTCTATCTTCCCTTCAAATATTATTTGTAGCAGATTATATTTGTCATTTCTTATTAGGTGGCCTAGTTTCGGGGTGTTTTGATTTGTAGTCATTCTTACAATTTCTAACTCTTTATTTATGGTATTTAATACTGTTCAATTTATAATATGTTGTATCTATGATATTCTAAGCATTCTGTAATAATGTCCCATGGTTTTTAAT